CCGGTCATGCCCAGCAGCCTGGTCTTTTGTTCGGAGTACGGTCTTTTGTTACAGGGCCATGTTTCCCTTGTCCGAGTTCGGAGACCCCGACCACACATATAAACCATACGGCTCCGATTTCGGAGTCCCCGGCTGGTAGTGGTTAAGGCCAGTGTTCTGACACCCATAGTTGGAAAAGCCATGGAAAGGCCCGTACTCTATGAGATCATTTCAGTTATAGAGTACACAGAAAGCTAGAGTACATGGACTTCATCTTCACCTACTGAAGAAGATGTGCATGTATATTTTATGTTTGCACCAAAAGCACAGTTCCCTTATTTTACCTTTTACCTTTTACATGTATTTGTGCAATTTTGGTCTTCATTGAATTATCTTCAAAGTTCCATTCATAATGTGCTGCAATAATTCACCCCTATTGTTTTACTCACAAGGGTCATGCATTGCCAATGTATGATGTGACTCCAAAGAATATGATTTAAAGGCGAATAGGTGTCATTCTCGGTGCTCATTATGACATAGTGACTATTTTCATTGAAAATGGGACTTCACATACATGACACCGTCGACAGTGATGTACATGTACATAATGTAAGCATGGGAGGGGACATTTGAAGGGAAGTGTCCTGCAGCAATGCATGTCGCCATTGTTTGGCAAGCACAAGGGTTTATCCACTGGGAACAAAGGGTGAGGGTTCCCCTTGTTTTTTTTCTGTTTTCTCTGAATGATGCAATCTGCAATCAGAATTCGCATCTTGGCATGAATAGAAAAAAAGCCCTGTTGAGCTCTGGAAACAAATGACACTGCGTTTGATTTGATGCTTCCACATTTATTTGAACAAATAAAGTCTAGGAAAAGATATTCTCCTTAGAGGTGCTCTTTAACCCAAACTTCATTGTCGTTAAATGTAAAATACTGACAAATGATAAATATTAAATTGAGAAAACAAGGAAATACATGTAAATTAGTCTTTAAAATGATCCAAAAGTATGAATGGTGTGGGGCTTTGCACTTGCTGTGTACACAAATAACTTGTCAGTGCCGTACACTAAGACCTTGAGTGCAGAAAACATGGAGAACAAAACAAAGCCACCTTTAGTGTCAAACATAGTTCTTCAATGTTCAATGTCAAAGTTTTCAACTTTCGCCCATCCAAGTTTCAGATCTAATTTATGTTTGATCTTGAAAGAGGCTTTTTCTTAATGCTTGAGTTGTCATAAATTGCATGGCATTTCAAAGATAGTAGAAAGAGGTTTTAGGTGGTGTTTTTGTCTTTTGTCTCCATGTTGCATTGTTTGTTTATTCTCAGAGGCACAATATTCAAAGTATAACTTTTTTTAGCCACATTTGAAATTTTTTACTGAAGTAAACATGCTTCCATGCTTCTACCTTGATTCAGGAAGCCATCCAAGCCATGTACAATGCATCCCTTGCTGTTCCAAATCTCAACCTCGCAGAGCGATATTCAGAGTACACCAAGCGTGTCAAGGAACTTCATCAGATTGGTATGTTATGTAGTTGGGAACTTTGGGAACCTTGAATCTGCCAATTCCAACTCGAGTAATTCATTAAAACAACCATAAAGCTGGCCGGTTTACAGTATTGAATCCACCATTGTTTGGAGGAATAAATCTGCTTTTTACAAGCTTTCAATTTTTACTAAAAACAACTTAGTTAATCAACTAGACATAATGCAAATTTGGATGACATGTATACGCACTGTAGATTTTTCCTGTGAATGTACACGTCTTCTTGTCAAGTTTATTTTGCAGAATTCAGATTGATTTTGAATCCGTCTCTGCACTTTATAAATTGATTTCTCAGTCACTCAGAACTCCAGACAAGTGGCAACCCCAGTGAAGTCTGATGATCAGATAGCTGCAGAGAGAGCCAACTTTTTGTTAAGACAAGCATTTGAGGAAGATGAACAGGGTAACCAAGAGGATGCCACAGAGCTGTACCTGAATGCTGCTGAGATGTGCATAGAAGCTGTTGAGTACATGTATCTCTCATGTGTTGCTTGTTGTGAAATCAATGTCTACCACCAAACCCCAAGATCTTAGACCCATAGTAGCAGGTGGGGATGGAATGTGGAAAGGATAATAAGACATTAAATACATGCCAAGTCTATCAAGAAAGTTTCAATTCAAACAAAACTTTAATTGCATTGGTTTTTATCAACTCTGCCTGGGAATTAGTACTTTTCCTGTGCAATGGCTATGAATTAATAGTCATTTATCATCACATTTTATACAACACCCGTCATCTGATTGGTGGATCGTTTATCACATGGCATTAAATTATTTGTACCAACACACAGCTGCCGCACAATGCATGTGATGCCCACGAAGAGTGAAAAATTTCCTAACAGCTGTGTGTTAGAAATGGATAACGAACACCTTCGGATTGATTGCACTGCAGCTGCCCTTGGCACAAGTTTCTCAGTGCTCAAGTCCCTCCGTTCACAATTCTATGAAATAATTATAAGAACTTGGTTTTGTAGGTAATGCTGATACTGTCAACATAAGGAGACTGATCAATTTGGCCAAATGATTAAATGAACTGGGAATGTCCTGTCAAAAATTAACAGATTCACAACTGGACAACTTGCAGTTGAATCAGTTAATTAATCCAGCTATATACCCAGAAAATCAGATGATGAGAATTTATACAGGTGTTGTATAAAACAAAAAATGACTGTTTTGCATTCATGAAGTGGTAACGATAATTGCATTTAGTGACAGGTGAAATGCTCTTCTACTCAGCTTCACCTCATAGAATAGACTGTTTTCATCTTTCACCTCCTACAATTATTCTAACCATCACACTCATAAACATTCATTATTCCAATTACTTGCATAGCATTGAAATGGTATCTGATCAAAGTTGCTGTCAAATTGTGCACAAGTCAAGTTTGAGCAGAAGTGGATTCCACTGATTTTTGCCCTTCCCCGTTTTTTTATAATTGAAATATTTAATGGACCATACAAACTCACCGTTTAGATGGAAGTAATGATTTATTTAAATAAAGGAGATAAAGAAAAAGTTGGAGTTAAAGAACAACAAATAAATCTGAGAATGTAATTGCAAATGAGAGTAAAAGTGTTTGGGAAAAAATGCTCATTTGTCAATTTTTTGAGGTTACCATGCTCACACTTAAGTAAATATTTCCAAATAGGTCACTTGGGAGACACTTTGTGGTAAATTTTTCAACATTAGGGAGACATCGGTCATTAGGAAGACATTTCAGTGTCTCCCTAATGCTCCAACTACCAAAAGGAGGAAAATTTTTATGGTCCACATTTTGAAAAATGATAGATTAGGTGTCTGAAAGGAAAACATGCAAAGTTTGGTTAAGATCGGATTAGGGAATATTGAATTATGGGACGGTAAAGTTTGAAAAATTTCCTATTCCTATGGGAATGTCTCCCAAGTGACCCATTTTTGGTCATAAGAATTTTGAACGTTATGTTTGACTTTTGTGTGCTATTTTCTTGCAGGGAAGATCTTGCTCATCTGCTGATCAGAGAACAAAGCTTAATAGACTAGCCAAGCAAGCACTGGACAGGTACATGTATGCATTCTGATCTGTTAAAAGCCCACTCAGTATTGTATGAAGGGGCACAGTTCCTCTCTGTTGTGATGAAAGACAAAGAAGACTGCATCCATAGTAGCAGCATCCACAGCAGGATTGAAGTTATTGTTAGTAAGATCACGTACGATCAGGCATATTGATTTAGAATTAAATTATGCTGCTTGTAACATTTTGTATCCACCTTTTCCAAGCGAAATAAAAAATGTAGGATTTAGCTATGTTCCTATTTTAGAAGATTGATCATATTCCATAACCATAGCAACGGGTACCGAATTTGTTACTGTTTTACCTGTCACATGAGCTGTTGAATTATATATATGAATGTTATGCAAGGCCAATAACTTATAAATACACACAGTGACTGTAATTGTTACCAAAAATAAAAAACGACAGATACTCAGCTGAGGAAATGGAGAATTGCCTATAGTTGTTTGTCTGCTAGGGTTGCCTTCCCCCAGGTGGAATGACTTGAAGGTGCTGTTGCATGTGTAGCTTGTAGGCTATGGCTGCCTGAACAGTCCAGGTAATATATGCAACGGCAACACACCCAATCTCGCCTGATGCTTGCCTGGTGCTTTTCCAGCAATTGCTTTCTGGTCATTCTGACAAAGTTGGCCACATTATCTGAGATGAAGATGTTATAAGATGAAGATGAGCCCTTATTCTTTAGAGATGTTGATGCTTGCTTCAGGGTGAACTGTCAATCCCCGTAGCATAACAGTCGACAATTAATGAGACCGGGTCGGCTGGGAGTGTTTGTGCCCGCTGAGTTTGGCTGGCGTCCAGTATGATTTGCCTGCTCCACTTCACGGCATCACCTCCTTTGAGCTTCTTGTCATCTGCAGGGAAATGGGAGAAGAGCTCTTCACAGGACTGGTTTCCCTCAGATCCCTCCGGAATCCCATGGATAATTATATTATTTCTTCTACTTCTGTTGGAGAGGTCATCGACTTTATCTTCCAGTTTGCCAATCAGTTTTTAGTTGCCATGTGCATGATTGTTAATAAGGCTGGTATGTTCTTGGATGTGTTCGTCGGTCGTTTCCAAACTGGCCTTCATATCTTCGATGTCATGATCATGATTTGACACAGTTTTTCTTACTTCTGTTAGATCTTCCTGTACCTCTGAGACTCTCTTACCCAGTGCTGTAAGAATCTGGAGGATTTTTATCCTGCTTCATGTGTATTTTGACCATGGTGTTCTGACAATTGCATTGATGGCAGCCATCTTGATCTTTGTCTGGAACATGTTGTACTGGTTGATCCATGTTTGCAATTTGTTTTGCACTGCTTGATTTTTTTTCACTTCAGATGATTCGACCGTGTCAGGTAATTTATAGGATGACAGTTTGGTAGTAAAAGATGGTCATGCTTGGCACAAGATTAAATGTTACTAGTATGATACCTGTGTTAATTGTACATACCCTGCTCAAAAGAATTAAAGGAACAAGAGAACAGAATGACCCGCATGACACACATAATTGCACATCGTTGAGTATTGTTTGAGAACCAATTGACAACACCTGAATGATTTTCACATAACTTTAATGCCTCTTGTTCTAATGGTAGCCCATATAGACCATGGCAAAAATATTCTGTTCTCTTGTTCCTTAAATTCTTGTGAGTAGTGTATGTTGGACATGGGAAATCTGTAGGACAGGGGAAATGACTTCTTCAGCTCTTAAACTGTATCGGTTTTTCACCGGTAAACCATAAATTGACTTCAAAAAGTTTACACTCTGACTAGAAATTTTCTTTTCTTGTCACCTATTTCCTTATTAGCAGGAAATTATTTGAATTTACTTGAAGCTGTAGAAATGGTTTTCCTAGACATTGGTCCGTAGAGGTTCAGGTGGGACATATCCCTCTACTATTTAAGGTGGGAGATGAGCTGTAGCATTATACCCCAGGTTTACAAAAACAGAGTAGGGAGACAGAAAAACAGTATGACGGGAGGCTAAGAATCAATACAGAAATGTAAATTTTACATAAATGTCTCGTTGGAATTGTCAGAAAGAGGACTAAAATGCAGCTCTGTATGCTTGTATCAACTGCAGTTTGTAAATACCTTAGACAGTCTCCCTATTCATCAACAGACAATGTGACTGTGTATTAACATTTGATAATGCCCACTGCGTAAAAACGCGCTGGCACTTGGATTTAAGACAGTTTAATCCATTCGTATTAGTCAAGCGTCTGTGTGCACTGCAGCACACAGAACTTGCCGCACTCACACCAAGTCCTTATAAGGAGATTCTTCTGGACTACCTCCACAAGGAATATACCATAAAATGGACGGGGGTCTTTTGGAAAACAAAAGTAAAAGTCTCGAACAAATATCCTTGGAAATTTATCATATTTGGACTTGTTTTGACTCTCTGACTTAAACAGGATTCATAAATACCTGGGACAGTTTTTGTACTTCTATGGCCAAAACACGTCATGTGACCGTGTATTAACATTTGATAATGCCTGCTGGGAAGTGATGATGCCCGCTGAATAAATCATGCACTGGCACATGGATACGAAACAGTTTAATCGGGTTTGATTAGTCGGCAGTCTGTGTGCATGCAACGTGTGTGGCATGTTCATTGAAGGGGATTCTATTGGACAACTTTCCAGAGGAATATACCATAAAATGGACGATGGTGATCAGGAAAATGAAAGGAACATTCTAGAACAAAATCATTGAATATCTATCTGATGTTGACTGCATTTGACTGTCTGAATAAAAAGGTATTTATGAATGGGAGTAACTCTGTGCTTGGCCAGTCTTATAGTGACGTTTAAGACCTTGCTCAGGAGAACGAATGCTGATAATGCCCAAGCGGGACATAAGTCGCATCCATTCTCCAGAGCTGGTCTTAAAAGTATGTTAGTGACTTGCTAAGCTTATATATTTATTCCCTTATTAATACACACACAAAGCAATGCCCCTAATGTTAGAAAATGTCAGGATATTGGATTTTAACATTGTCATCTTTTCCTCACTGGGAGACTTTAATTTACTCTATTGGCCTTTTCACACAAACATTGTCTTATTTTTCTGCAGGGCTGAGCAACTGAAAAAGAAGAATGAGCCAGTGCTACATCTTCCAGAACCTCCATCCACCTTGCCTGACCTCCCTTCCCTCTCACCACAACCCTCACCCCATCCATCACCCCGTGCCTCACCCAAGCCAGCCAAGAGGAATACCCACAGTGGAAGTGGGTCAGCTGCAGGCAGCAACAATGCAGGGTCTAACAGTGGTAGATTACCTGCCTTGGGAGGGGATGGTGGACCAAGCAAGGCAGGAAAAGGAGGGGTTGGAGGAGGGTCATATACACCAGAAGAGATTGCTGTACTGAGGTAATAAACCTCTTTAGACATGGAATATTGCAGTGTTGGAACATTACTGATACGAGAGCTGCTTTGAATAATAATGGTATTTTTCAGTTATGTTTGAAAAGGCAGTTGTACCCTCAAGCACTGTGATCAGGTTTTATTTCTTTTTATAGGACAACCTCATTTATCAATGGCCGTGAGTTCCTTCCGTACATATCGCAAGCTGACTTGAAAGAAAAGTTTGCATATTCTATTCCTTTCACGTAAGTTTTGTCTAAGGCTTTCCTTTGAATCATACACTAGAATCACTTGATGGACAGCTTAGAATTTTAATAGAGAGCTCAATAATTTTGAAGATTTTGTGTTTCTTATGTAATATTCTCAAAAAGGAGAAAGGGGATTGGTAACACTGTTCCTAATATAGCTTAACAATTGGTCAAGCAGCTTAAAGGTGTTTGCCCATTGAAGATTACAATTTGACAATTTCTCATGCCTTCAGTTAATACAAAAAATGCTGGTTTATTTCATAAGATTGTATGCATGCACAGCACCCATTGCAACATCAGCAGACTGTTGCAACAACTCATTGCATTATGTGTGAAGTGACAAATTGAGAACTAAGCTATAATACACTCTTGTGGAAATATAAGTGAGGGATGAATGGTGACAAATTATGCATTATGCAAATTATGCAAATTCATTTCCTTAAGGGCAAACAATGAATGCTAGCACTTGTGTCTGTTATTCTTTCTTTTTTAGAGATAAATGTGGTCAGCTTGCCTTGGCAACTAAGCAGAAATCCAGACTTGCAAATTTTCGACGGCCTTCAGAATTCTGTTCAGACCCACAGATGATCTTTGCCATTTCAGCCTTCAGCATAAAACAGGCATGTTCCATTTCTTACATTCAGTTAATCAAAATCTGCTGAAATGGTGTACTTAATTTGCTGTACTTTGAATGAATTTAGGACCTTAACTTGACTAATGTCCCATTTGTTTCCACTAGGCTGAGTTACATTGAGATGCCAATTGGGCAGTAGGCTAGCTATGGGTAAGAAATGTGGCCCCACAAACTCTACCTACAAATTGAATTGCTGGTCAATGCCAGAGTTTTCCATCAAGATTTTTACTCTTAGAGTACCAAAATAAATATGTCAAGCGCACTATTATGCGTGTGAAAGGTATAAGCCTGAACCAACATACACCCAGTCTCCATTCTTTTGCGCTGCACTACCCAATTTCAACTGTAGCTGCAATGAATAGAATTTGTCTGTATTTGTGTACTTTTCTTCAATGTATGAATACGCTTTGACAATCCTGTTGCATTAAATGCATCGAAAAATACACTTCTGTAAACACTTGATTTATTCATGCTCTCCTGGTCAACTGAGGGCACTATTGCTGTGATGTCATCCAGGGAAGACATCGTTCAGTGCATAGGTTTTTCTGTTCAAATAGTGAACCAAGAATTTCCGTAGTGAAAACGTTCCTTAGAAAGATATAGAGGGATTTCACATTAGTGCCGTCTGCGCATATTCGCATTGAAACCGAGGCTCTCTGTGTTGAACTTTGTCGTGCGCGCCTGCAGAGTCGACACAGTACATGCAGTATCCGGTTCATAAGTGTGATACCACTTCAGTTTAAAGCACGCCCACTGCACAAGATACACGACCATCGCAGGTACATTAGTTCGTGGTAAATTGCCGTTATATTTCTTTGATTTTACGTGTCGAGTCATCCTGAAAGACTCTTCCACAAACATTTGCTGCCTGAAAAGTCTGAATTTAACATACCTTTATGTAGTTTGTGTCTTAACTCCTTACTTTCAATCGTCTGATCGTATTAAAAATTGAAGCTGACACATACAACCTTGTTTTCAAATGCAGAATTGCGCAGATCGACGCTAAAAGCGTCGTATTGAGATCCCGCTATTATAAACAACAATGAATCAAAGGAAAGAAAATTGACTTCAGCAAAGTCTACAAAAAAGCAGTAATTTTTGTGCATAAACAATATGACATTGACAATGTTACATTGACAATGTGACATCACATGTTTGCTCATTGATATGGAAACACTTATTTGCATAAAAACCAAACAGGCTTTGAAGTAGTGAAACAACAGTCGAAAATAATGTTACCTTAGACACAGAGGTGCATTTTGAAGGTTGTATTTAAACAAATTGATTGCAGCTACATGTACCTTTTCAATGACATCACACTTCAGTACTCTGTATCTATATCCTTCACAAAGGAAAAAAGAAAATGTCTGACAGATAATGCTCAGCCCAAACCAAGAGCACACCTGTTCATTCAAATTTGAAAAGTTTGCTGCAATGAATTTTTCTGAAACACTCTTTTTCTGTATCTTAATGTTCTTTTCGATGTATGAAAGGTGTTTGACATTGAAAAGTGCACTTTTTTAAACATTAAAATTCTACTGCTTTCCTTGACAACTTGGCACTGGTGCTGTGTCATTCAGGGAAGACAGAGTTCAGTGCATAGGTTTTTATGTTGAAATTATGAACCCAGAATTTACTCACTGAAAACATTCTTGAGAGTTGGTTGCTCACTGGCTTGTCTGCCTTAAGCAGAAGCACCCCTTCATGGTTTGAGCATTTATTTTGTTGGTGGGACATGACCACAATGCATGCATTTCAAAGTTGTTCATAAACCAGCCAAGTGCAGTGCCGCTATGAAAATTGCACCCTTTCTTGGTTCCATTCAGGTTGAATTGCTTGTGTACTTGCCCGACGATGAATCACAAAAGAAAAGACAATTTTTTGCGTAGGCCAACAAAAAATGTAAAATCCAGCAGTTTTTAGGGTTTGTTTGTGCACAGACCAATGTACGTAAACATAAATTTTTCCCAGGATGACATCATGCTTTGCTTATGAATATGGAAATATTTCAGCGTAAAAACCCAAAAGGCAGTAAAATACCGGTACCCTTGAAAATAGTGAAATAATAATTGAAATGGGGTTAATGGAGGCACAATCATATGTTTCAAAGGGTTGTATGAAAACTTGCATTGCATAGGCCCTTCAACTAAAAAAACCCCTCCTTAGTTTTACTCAGCTCATAAAACCAGATACAACAGATTTTAATTTGCTTGAGCCTACCAAAAGCAAACATGTACTGGTACTGGATTAGTCTTAAGGTCTCCTACTTATAATGTTTATTTTTTTCCTCTTTACCGTGTCAAAAGGTTTAGTTGACATGCATTTAAAAGTGAAGCCAAGATACCAGTGAAATAGCAATATCACAAAAACCTTCAGTTGATGAGAAATTTGTTTCCCTGTCACTTCAAGTGAATCAATCTTAAGTTATGCCATTTATCCCTAAATTCCTGATTGCCCATAAATTGAGACTCTTTCCTAATTACAAACCTCATTTGAATTTGTTGGTTTCATTTCTCTTCTAGACTATCGTCCAGGATTGTTCCTTCCTGGCATCACTGGCTATCTCAGCAAACTACGAGAGACGTTTCAAGAAAAGTGTCATAACCAAGTGAGCTTATCATTTATCAGTTTGATCTGTTCCCAGGGGCCTTTTGAAATTCTTCCTGCATTGATCAGGAATGTATTAATTTCTGTGTGTCATTGGTTAACTAAGCCATTGCTGATAATGGTCACAGCTAGAGCAGCTATGCAACATTGGATTGGTTATGATATGATAAGCATGAATCCAGCTTGAGAAAGTCTGTTGAGTAATGTTGCACAATAGTACATACACGTAAGAACGCAAGATTAGTACGTACCGTATCTAAGCAAAGGAAATTAAATATTATCTGAACTAGAGACTTGAGACAAGTGCATCTCTGTTTCTCATTGTGGAAAATGAACGTGCAGCTACTCACTCTTGGCCATGACAATGATTTTTAGCTGCCTGCATTAAGTAACTGTGGAAGTGACCAAAGCTGTTTTTTCGGTAACGTAAAGATTTTCGTAAGTAGATATACCAGTGTTGTAGTACTCGTACTCGAGTACTACTCGAGTCTTAATTGTACTTGAATTTCCAAGTACTTTTACTTCAACAACAGTTCTTGTACTCGGGCTGCAAAATACTCAGAATAAAATTGAACTCGAGCATCAAGTTACTCGTACTTGACTAACAGTACTCGATAAAAAATCATTTAAATCCTGTTACGGCCATTGAATTACAGTGGTACATGAAAATTGATCCTCGCAGACCAATATTGGTTCAATCTGACAAACACAAGACCTACTCATTTGCCGTTGTTAGCCAATTACGAACGCGAAATGCCTGTGTGTTCCTAGTCTTGGTTTGAAGACCTTCTGTTTATTCTGCAACACAAACCATCACCAGACCTAGCGGCTGGAAGGAGCATCGTCACTGCGTATATTGCCTTGTAAAGTACACGTACACCACATACTACATACAACAACTGATTGTAGCACCGCGAAAGGTGTCTTGGGTCCACAACTAGTAACACTCAATTCAGTGTTAGCTATAGTCTGGTTCCTGGCCCTGACATAGAATTAAGAATGTAGAATAACATGGGCATAGGAATATGAAGTCTGGAAAGCAGACTTCACCCATTCAAATTTATGTATTCGTTCGCATTGTGTTTGCATAGGCGAATGCATCACGAGGTGGAATCATACTGGTACATGCACATTGACATGGCCACAAGTAAGCACAGATCACCAATCACAACTCCATTGTAATGTGTATTGTTTCAGAATGTTATTCACATTTCTTTGGTTGGCATGACAATCATACTGAGTTTTAGTCGGTAACGTTTGTTTTTAAGCAAGGTTTTGGCACTTCAGTAAATTTTGTAAGCAGCTCGGTGAAATCGGGGCCATGCATCAACGACATTTGCTTATTCTTGATGTTTTACATTTTACCTCTGAGTCAGTGCTTTTGCTGTTGTTGGTGCATCAGATCTGATGATTTTTCTCTTGCTGTATAAATGTTGTACTTGTGAGTTTTGCCAAGGAGCCTGAAATACATGTACCCAGTATCGGACTAAATCTAATACTGATTTGGCAATGCTACATGTATGGCAGATTTTTATAAAACCAATCAGTTGCACAAAAAGTTTGTAGATCCATTGTTCATATCCATTTAAACATTTTCACACACAAATTTGACCCAGACTTGGAGTACTCTGACTTGTACTCAAAATTACAAGTAGTCACACTCGGAGGTACAAGTACTCGTACTCGCACTTTGGAGTACAAGTACTTGTACTCTTACTTGCACTCGGAGGTACAAGTACTCGTACTCGCACTCGGGGGTACAAGTACTTGTACTCTTACTTGCACTCGGAGGTACAAGTACTTGTACTCTTACTCGCACTCAAAGGTACAAGCACTCGTACTCGCACTCGGGGGTACAAGTACTTGTACTCGCACTCGGGGGTACAAGTACTTGTACTCTTACTCGCACTCAAAGGTACAAGCACTCGTACTCGCACTCGGGGGTACAAGTACTTGTACTCGCACTCGAGGGTACAAGTACTTGTACTCTTACTCGCACTTGGAGGTACAAGTACTCGTACTTGCACTCGGAGGTACAAGTACTTGTACTTGAAAATCAATTCTGGTACTCCGCTGGTAAAATACTCAGACTTTCAGGTACTCAGAAATCTTCACCTTCCAGAATCTTCCATTTTGCCAATTTAGGTAATTTAGGTCAGCCCAAGTTCATAACCTCTACACTCATGAATATTGTGGGTTTCATTTCTCAGAATTATTTATCCTCAAGACAAGCAGGGCAAACCGATCTACAATCCTTGTGGAAAATACATGGTGATCCTTCGTCTGAATGGAGTCAAAAGAAAGGTCAGTCTGAGCCAATGAGATTTGTGCATTGGGAATAGTCTCAGAAGACTACTCAGGACTTTAGACACAGACAGATTTTGGATGAATGATTCTTCGGATTCATTTTCTCTTTGATTCAGTTATTATTTTGTTTGGCTAATATCTGAGAACATATGTAGATGTGTATTGCTTGTATAACATTGTGAGTGGCATGCACCTGTAGATAGACCTGCAAGAGTGACAAATTACATTATGTGATTTTATATACACTGGTCACATGCTCTCAGCTACATGTAGGATCTCACTTCATTCACTTCAGTGCTTTTAAGCTGTAGGATTAACTCAACTGGAATGCCATTGAGAGAAGAATTATTTCTGACCAGTGTTAATCATTCTGTTGTGCAAACTTCATCATTGGTACGTGTATAGGAAAAGGAATTTTTAACCCAATTGAAGGAGAAGGGTCATACACATGTAGGTGCATGAGAGATGATACCAATTATGAAGACACACAAATATGTATCCAAGAAAAACCAGAGGCCTTTAGAGACTCGTGCTAATTTGAATTATTGCCAATTTTCCTGTGATTGCAAGTAGATCATAAAATATGATGCTTCTGTTTTGTGTGCCACAAAGTAATGTTGTACATGTACATGTAGTTTTCTGATGTTCCGTGACAATCCTCATCCGAATTCTGCATTTATCGTGAGATTGAATTACTTGCATGTAAAGTGGTAGAAATGAGATTAACCCTAACAGTCCCAAATCCTCCAATTTCCATACGATTGTACATATACCCTTGGGGGTTAGGGTTAACATTCTGAAATAAAGCTCGTAGAATGTACCATTGGGTTACTGTGCTGTTTATGTACACATGTACGTACACATGTATCTCAGAATGCTTCACAGTGATTGTACTCTGTCATCAGGCAGTTTGAGATCAGTTTCCTACCATATTTGGAAATCAGTACGGTCTCTGTATAGAGGGATTTCTCTTGCCATTTATCCCTTGCTATCCAGTCAAACTAGCCACACTATATTTTACATTGCACAGAAACTTCCATCTAATCTGTCTTTTAAAAAAGAGAAGCATGCTTACTATACAGTTGCTGTTAGCAGTAATCATTGCTTTCTGGCATTATAGTTTTATGGAGATATTGTCGGCATATTTTGATCAGGTAATTATTGATGACTACCTGCCCATGGATAAGCATGGAGACCTGCTTTGCTCATTCTCCAACAACCGCAATGAATTGTGGGTGTCTCTGCTAGAGAAGGCCTATATGAAGGTTATGGGAGGCTATGATTTCCCAGGATCTAACTCGGTAAATATAAATTGATACATAC